CGTAAAACGTTGAGGTTTTTGTGACGTCAAATGATAGACTTTTGTTTGTTGCTACTTTAGTACCATTGTTCCATAAGCCTTTTCTCGGTAGATGTTTTGTGAACTTAAATATCGAAATGTTAATATTATAGTCATATCGACCGATTCTGATCGGCGACAATTCATTTCTGTAACACAACGGCCACTTTAAGACAATAACTACTCGGTGAACAAATTTTTCATCGGCAACTTCAGGGTTATCCGTCCATTGGACTTCCCAAGATAACTTTCTGATAGGTATTTCCGCTACTAAACGTGATGTCCTTACGAATAGATCTCCATTTGTCCTTGATTCTGACTTTTAACAGTAAGGATGGGTCATTAATGTATGTATGAAATGATTAATTTCTGTTAACACTATTTCCCACTTTGATAATGCCAGCATAACTGCTTAAATAATGGAATCAATTTAATCTGCCAAATTTTTATTTAATCAAGTCCTTTCTATTTGTCTTTTCCACTTCCTTCAAGCATTCCATACATAACCATAAAGAATGCGAGGAACTTTGAGGTGGGAAGAGGATAAACGGAGAGGTCATGAGTAGATGACCTTAGATCTCCTCTCATTGGTGATTTTCCAGTCAAATCGATTGGTTACCTCGTCTGAAATGCCTTCTTTTTCAAAAACACCACCTTGATTCGTGCTTCTCCAATATTTGTTAAGTAATTGGTATCGGAGTTTGTGATATGGATGAGTGGGCGGAGGGGGAAGAAGGAGAGGAACAAGAATAAGAGTGGATAAGGACCAACTCTTACCTATGCTCTCTTGATGGCAGTGCGCAACCATCGGCATAACCATTCATTAACTTTCCATTCTAGTGATAGGCCCCTTCGGCATACTCCCATATTCAACTCCTTGATCGGTAACTGTACGCGATCATTTTGGCGCACGACTTTTGAATACCGAACTGCTTTTCCTATTTCCCAGATTTTGGCTGCGCTATCGTACATCCCGTCTTGTTAAACACTTTCTTTGTTTGCAGTGCGTTGTTTATTTTGCTTTTGTTAGCGGATAAGACAGTACTTCTCCGACCTCCTGAAATTTAACTTATTCTCATCTCCGCGACTGTACTCGTCTCTTTCGGAAACTTGCGCAAATCCCAACCCACTGAGATATACGGTAAGTTAATCACATGCCTCAGTATGAAATCACGATATCCTAAGGCGTACATCTCTGGTGAAGCCTTAGAAAGGAAATTAGTGAATTCAAATGAATAGAACAAAATTTCAAGGAATAAAAAGTTATTTGAATCAAATAAGCATTTGTTAGTGATAAAATTTATAAGATGTTCCGGATTCTTTTTTCTACAAATAAATTATTGGAAATCAAATTGGAATTAAATTTTCTCTTTGTTTTTATAGTTTTTTGTGATATCACTAATATCACTGAGCACAAAGAAAAATGTCCCGGATTGCTGATAATTTGGGCCTTCAGCCGCCTTTCATACAAACCGGAGGATTGGATAGTCTTGATGCGTTAATAAATATATACAATAACTCTAGCGATGATGTGAAAAATTTATTGACAAGAGAATGCACTATCCTTTTGCAATGTTGGTATGTTCATTCTTGCTTTCGTCTTAAGATTTTTTCAAAATTTTGGGATCATTCATGTCAACAATTAAATTTAGTTGGCAAATTGCACTGTATGGACTTTCCTCAAAAGTTTTCCTTTCTTTGAAGTCACCTTTGACTTTATTTGATAACATTATAGTTACTGCTGCAATTTCTTTCGTTATCCTTTCGACTATTTGACGCACAAACGTGTCTATTGTCGCGCATCATGTTCGACTACTGCGTCCGCATTCAGCGCTATGGCTGTAGATTTCGCAGAAAAAGCCCTTGGAGGTAAGCAGTTTCTCAAAAGTGGTCGGGGTATCGTTCAATTCAAAAATCATGGAAATCGAGAAAGTGAGGAGGTATCTATCGGGATATCGAAATCACAGACAGTCAAGATCACGTCTCGATCAAAACTGGTCTCCTAGCCGGTGCTATCTCTCCATAGTCATATTTGTCATCGAATAATGTAGTTTGAAATTTCAGAAATTCGAAACGGCAATCAAAATAAAAAGGAAGCAGCATCACCACAGCAGAAAAACAGAGGAGAAGTAGGGACATCATCCGGCACGAAAACCAGTTCGCAGCCGCCGAAACGTGCCAAAGTCATTCTCAAGCGAACAAATCTTATCAACCTTGTCAATAAACGCATGAAACATTACGCAGTATCATTACCGAACTCGAAGGTTAGTCTATTTATGGCGACTAATTGAATCATTAATAATGTCACAGTATGATGTATGTATGGGAACGAATGATAGAAGAAAGATAGATTAAAAATCTCTGTCTTAATTAAATTTCATTGTTATGGATTTATTTGCAGCACAAATTGGAATTACATACACCGTCTCGTGTATCACGTGATGTGGCAGCAACAACATTCGTAGAAGGACAACAGGTGGCGCTTTGCAGTCCATTTTCTTTTTGTATAACTTAAATAACCGAAAAAAATTTAAATCAAGAAATGAATGAATTAAACTTTTTCCAGGTTATGGAATCAATCCCACATGCACTGGTAACAACAGACATAATACGACCGGGTCAGGTTCCAATTCTTATTCCACAGGACGATTCAAGTCGTTGTCGCGAAATGAACCTTCTTGATCATAAAGATGATAGCTCAAAAAATGGTGTCGCTCGAAAACTTGGGACTGAAGAAGTATTTTATTTCATTTCATTCTGTATGTTCTTAAGAGATGAAGAAGTGAAAGTTCATCTTCTTAAGAAGTGAAAGTTGAGAGAAGAATAATCAAATTGCTGAGCTTGTAACCAACTAAAAACAAAATTTAAAACTTAATATTTTTTTGTCATTGCAGCTTAAAATTTTGGAACGTATGGGCAAATACCAAACACTGATGGTTGATCTGAGCTTACTTACTTGTTCACACAGTGATTGCAAAGAAAAGCAACCATTTTCATCACTCTTCACGTTTGCATATCATCTTACTGTGAAACATAATCACCGTGCTACATCAAACAAACGAATCCCATGTTATTTGTGTGATTTTGAATCTGAGACGTACGTGCTGTTAATGGTTATAAGCATACATCAAATAATTGGTGCAGATTTAGAACTGATAAAACGGATCACTGCCATTAGATGGCAGTTTCGGTCATTGGTAATGATTAGTTCAAATGATGTTATTTCAGATATACTACGTTGATCGAACATTTGAAAAATGCGCACGAACAATATTATCAAGAGTACGTCACAGCCCGTTCGACATCCGAGGAGCTTAAGCGAGGCCGGAAAGGAAAGCAGTCAAAAGTAAGTAATTTATTTCCCTTGTAACTTATGGTTTAATTTGTAATTACGGCAGAATTTTATTGATTTCATTTCCGGAAATTTTTTTTAAAGGCTATACTAATGGGGGAACGAAACTTGAATCCATTATCCGTTGATTCTCTTGGGAAGGAAGAATCGTTTGATGGATCAGAGGGGATTGGATATGATTCAGTTCCTGTACTGGAACCGATGACAAATATGGAAGCTGAAAATATTGAGTTGGTATGTCTTACTACTGTAATCATTTTTGTTAGACTCATCATACTGTCTTTCATATTACACACACAAATTTCAGGCAGTAAAAGATAGTGTGGATTACATCATTGCAGTTATTTGTGGGGAAGTCGAAAAGGCTCCGGTATTGGAGGATAGTAAATATGAGTTGAACACACAATTTTTGCGTGTAAGTTTTATATTGTATTTATTTTAAATAACATTTTCATTTATGAATTGAGAAAAAGGAATGGGAAGCTGAAAATTGGTGCAAAAAAATTTGAGTGAAGCAAGATATGAGAAATGGAAATAGTTTCAAATTTAGAATGAACCTTCTTCGAGGCCGCAACTGCGACCGGAAAAACGTACATATCTTAATCACGAAAAGACAGGACAGGTTTGTTTTAATGTTCTACCAATCCTTTAGGAAGGTTGTATTTGGACATGAAATGTTTTAAAAAAGTCGTTTTTCAGCTTACAAAATTGGGTACATCTGTTTCGAAGAAGAAAAAGCATGGTCCGATTCGCCTGCGCATAGCGCGTAAACGAATTGTGGGAAATATGCCGACGGGTCGAGTAGCTGGTCCTAGCAGAGTACTTGTTTTAAAAAAACCTAAGAATACAGTTGATGAGCATTTCAAAATTACGGTCGTTGGAAGAGAAAAATTGACTTATATTGATTTTTTAAGATCTCGCACGGAAGTGATGAAGAAGGAAAGCACGAAACTGAATTGCCGAAGAAAAGTGGTCAAGAGCGTAAACCGAAACCAAAAGCTTGTCAAATAGCGAAGAACGATATTGAGAAGGATGAGCAGAGTGGAAATAGTGACGAAGTAAGTACATAGCTAGTGTTGTATGGCTGAATGCTGTTTAGGTTATGTGGAATTTCAATTTTTATTTTCAGGCTAAAGATGGTCGTAAACAGCGTCCTTCACGTCAACGACGTAAACCAAATTGGATTGATGA